TACATAATTTTGATAGCTCAGACACCCAGCCCAGAGAGAGGAGAAGGTGTTCCTGGGGTCACACAGGTGGCCATATATGCCAGCCAAGGTATATGATGGAGGGTCCTGCCTAGACTGCTTAGGCTGGGGGTCTGAGATGCAGCAGCTGTGGCTACTCCTGGAGGAGGACCTAAATTTCTTGGAAGCTTATTGCCAGGCCATGTGACAGGCACTCAGGATGTCATGCTTGCCCTAGGGGTCCGTTACGCATCTCATTCACAGAACAGCAAACTGAGACCTAGGGAGAGGCCACCCACAATGAGGGCCACCCTGAGCAAGGGTCAGTGGCCAGATTACAATGCATGTACAGGCCCACATGACCCTGGGGAGGCTGCTTGCCTGAAGCCTCTATCACCTGTGGCGTGATGGAGGCTGGCTAAGTGTGGCCACATAGTTGACAGAGGGGGAACATCCCATTTTGGTCTCAGCGGCCTGGGAAGGCTGTACAGTGTGGGGTGGATGCTGCAGAATAGGAACTATGATTCCTTTGTTCTGAGAAACTCTGCATGGGGGGCTCTGGGGGAGGCCTAGACCCTGACATGCTGCGTTCCTTGTGACCCAGCAAACTCTCCCTTCTTGGTCCCCAGTCATGGAAATCTGATATCCCATTAAGGGGCACCCAGAGTTTCTCCTGTGTCACTAACTGGACCTGGGGTCCAAACAGGCCTGTGCAGAACATCTCTGCCTCCTCCCACTGGAGCAGGGTGGGGGTCACTATAGTTCTCTCTTAAAAAATTTTTTTTCTTTTTTAAAATTTTTTTAAAGACAGGGTCTCACTTTGTCGCCCCTGGTAGGGTGTTGTGGCGTCACAGCTCACAGCAACCTCCAGCTCTTGGGCTTAGGCTAGCCTCCCGAGTAGCTGGGACCGCAGGCGCCACCACAACGCCCGGCTATTTTTTTCTTACAGTTTGGCCAGGGCCAGGTCCGAACCCGCAACCCTTGGTATATGGGCCTGGCGTCCTACTCACTGAGCCACAGATGTCATCCCCTAAAAATATTTTTTTCTAACAGAAACAGTTTAATCCTTGGAAGGGGAAAGTTGGAACATTCAGAAAATCAGGCCAGACGTAGTTGCTCATGCCTATAATCCTAGCACTTTGGGAGGCTGAGATGCATGGATCACCAGAGCTCAGGAGTTCAAGACCAGCCTGACCAAGACCAAGACCCCATTTCTACTAAAAATAGAAAAACTAGGGCAGTGCCTGTGGCTCAAAGGAGTAGGGCGCCAGCCCCATATGCCGGAGGTGGCGGGTTCAAACCCAACCCTGGCCAAAAACTACAAAAAAACCCCAACAACCCCAAAATAGAAAAACTAGCCAGATGTGTGGCTGGCACCTGTAGTCCCAGCTACTAGGTAGGCTGAGATAAGAGGATCACTTGAGCCCAAGAGTTTGAGGTTGCTGTGAGCTCTGATGCCACAGTCCTTTACCCAGGGCACAGAGCAAGACTCTGTCTCAACAATAACAACAATGACAAAAAAAAAAAAAATAAGAAGAAGAAGAAGAAGAAAGAAAGAAAAGAAAAAAGAAAGAAAAGGGTACATGATTCCATTGATCTGAAATATTCAGACCAGGCAAATTTATAGCAACAGAAATCAGATTAATGGCTGCCAAGGGCTGGGGAGGGGGATTGAGGAGTGACGGCTAATGGGGACAGAGTTTCCTTTTGGGGAAGATGAGAAGGTTATGGTACTAGGTAGTGGTGGTGGCTGCATAGTATCATCATTGTAAATGCACTAAATGCCACTGAATTATACTTTTTTTTTTTTTTGAGACAGACTCTCACTTGTAACCCTTGGTAAAGTGCCCTGATGTCACACCTCACAGCAACCTCAAACTCTTGGGCTCAATCAATTCTCTTGTCTCAGCCTCCCAAGTAGCTGGGATTACAAGTACCTGCTACAACGCTTGGCTATTTTTAGAGACTGGGTCTCTCTCGCTCTTGCTCAGGCTGGTCTCAGACCTGTTCGCTCAGGCAATCCACCCACCTAAGCCTCCCAGAGTGCTAGGATTACAGGCATTAGCCATTGCACCTGGCCCTGAATTGCTCACACTTGTAATCCTAGCACTCTGGGAGGCCAAGGTAGGTGGATTGCTCAGGAGTTCAAGACCAGCCTGAGCAAGAGTGAGACCCCTGTCTCTACCAAAAATAGAAAAAACTAGCGGGTCTTTTGGCACATACCTGTAGTCCCAGCTACTCAGCAGGCTGGGATGAGAGGATTGATCAAGCCCAAGAGTTTAAGTTTGCTGTGAGCTATGCTGCCATAGTACTCTATAGGTCTAGGGTGACAGAGTGAGACTGTCTTAAAAAAACAAAGCAAAACAAGAAAAACATGAATTTCACCTTAATTTACAAGAAAAAAGAGGAAACTCATTCATAATCCCCTGCCTGGCAATGAGTGTTTTCTTCTAGTTTTTTTTTTTTTTCCATTCTCAATGAGATATTTTAATTTATGTTTTCTTGTAAACCAGTGTTTTTCAACATTTTATCTCATGGCACATTTGAACGTATTTAAAAAAAAAAACCTTTTTTTTTTTTT